AAAAAAAAAAAAAAAGAAAAAAGAAAAAAAAAACTGGTTCCAAAAGAGCCAATTATGAGAAAGTGCCCAAATACCAAGCCCACAATGTTTGCCCCCCAGGAAGTTACCAAAGGGGTCAGAACAGCTCCTTCCAAGTCATACTGCTATTTGAAACAGATGCTCTCCCTCCCTCCCACTAACTTAACTGTTGGCAAACTCCCCTGGGTCAAGTCCACGACCAGGAGGGCCATAACAGTTCGGGGATCCTGGACTACCTGGATGACAAAGAATCCATCCAGAAGATTAAAATCTGTGCCGGTGATATTTGCATACTGCTTAAGAAATAAAGAGAGGGTTTTAAGATCAAAAAACACAAAACAACCTGGAATTAGGTCTGACTTTTGGTGTCCTAAAATTTCCAACTCATTGCAATGAAAGGAATCTGAGCAAGACCTGGCTCAGAATGAAAAACCATCCCCAATTTTGGCCGGTGCTAGGAAATACAACATTGGCTCACGCTGAGAAGAGACAGGGATGTGAAAAATAAAAGCTAATACCTATTATTTTATCAATATCATTGGTTTGAATAAGCTTCTTCTATCAATTAGGATTAGGTTTAGCAATAGGATTAGGTTTGGATGCATATAATCTCATGCAATACAAGTCTGCAAACAGGCGATGTAGAGCTGCCATAGTGCTTCACATCCATCTGGCATCCAGGCTTCTTCTTTCTCCTCTACCATCCTTACTACGGGCTTCCATCTTCAAGGTCGGCTCATGGTCACAAGACAGCCACCATGGCTCCATCCATCAGATCCACTTAACAGGCAACGGGAAGGAGGATGAAACAGAGCAAAAAGGCCTGGATCCCAGCCGAGTCAGCCACCTTGAATGAGCTTTACCAGGAGCCCCACCCAACAGTCTCTAAACATATCCCTGTAGAGCACTAGCTGCCCCTATATGCAAAGGCCACTGAGAAGTGTTTTATACTGCTGCTGCCACCACCATCATTCCTCCACCCTTCCCCTTGCCCCGAATTATATTAGCTTTTTTTAGGAAAACAAGGGCCAAAGGGTTAGTGTGCAGGCAGCTGGCAGTCTCTGCTACCATGGGATCAGTATGTTAAAACTGTAAGAGGTAGCAAAGTGCTAGTATTCTATCTAGTCCATGCCTCCCATTCATATAAGAAAACTGAAGCTCAAAGCCACTAAAAGCCACATGACTAGCAAATGGTAACCCGGAGGCTAAAATAAATCTTCTCATTCCTGAAATTGGTGCCAGACTTTAGAACCAAAGTTGCAGTGAATTCTGTCTGTATATGCCTGTGGGTTTAAAAGATATTTTCTATGTTGGCTTTTTTCTAAAAACATAAAACAAATATGCTCTAGTTTATGGGGAACCTAAACTATATAGTCAGGCCAATCTTATATTGGAATATTTAAAGGTATCTGTAAACTATCAGGACTGTTCACATGCCTCAAATACCTGTCAAATTCTCTGTTTTAGCAAGATTCCAAGAACATCGTGAGTGGGGACATCTTTATACGTGTCGGTGTCCTTCCCCTAAACTGAAGCAGAGCTCCACAAAACGTATTCATGATTCACTTCAGACTTCGAAGAATACAGCCTCCTGTCTGTGCCAACCCATGAAAGCCAGTTCACAAAGCCCAAATGTCTCACAGGGACCTTTTAATGCGTTTTATGTCTTATTTATTGTGCATATCTGACAACTTCACAAGGCTAATAGACATCTCCAAAAATGTGTTGACATTTTAGTGCATTCTGAATGTCCTTCAGTGTATTATCAAATTTGGACAGTGCAAATATTCCCCTAAGGGTAGTAAAAAATAGACGCAGCAATACAAATGTGCCTTTCAGCCCATATGTTGTATATATTATATACAAATATTATCCCCCCAGTACAGCATTATAAAGTGCGGCGCTATAAATAGAATGCCAATTTCAACTACCGCCCACCCATTTGGTTAGCTGCAAAACATCCAGGCGACAAGCCAACTGATGCAGCCAGGAGTCACCCAGTCACTTTCCCAAACCTCCAACCTCCTTTCTCCTAGGGCTGCCACCCAGCAATGCCTTTCCTCCACTGAAGTCGATTCCAGCCAAATTCAGTTGCTGCCCAAGACCAACTACAGCCTTCTCTGCCCAAGGTGCCCTAATATTTTTAATTACACTGCTGCCTAATTAATCATGCATGTAAACAATTAATTACCAACTAATCTAGCTCTTTTCCCACACTTACTGAGCGCCTATAGAAATGCCAGAAGCACACAAAAGCAGCAATTAATCCTTACACGGAGAGCTTAAATCCAAATAAAAACGGGCTGTCAGGGTTCTGGTGGGCTAACAAGAGCAGCGCGCAATAATGCTACGTCTTTTCCTAAACTGCACCATTCTGCCATTTCCTAAAAAATCTGAAATTACTGCCTTTTCGCAGGCTGGAAATGCCAGCAAGTCTGGGTTAGAGGACAACAACTCTGTAACAGTCTGTAAAGAAAATATTTTTTCGCTCAAGCTTTCAAACTTGAACAAATCTCATCACGAAACTCAATTACAAGGCTGCTTTAAAAAAAAAAAAAAAAAAAAAAACTTTATCACATCGTTTTACGGTAAAGGGGGGAAATGCCCTTGCGAGGAGAATGGAAATAAAAAAGAACGGGCATTACAGCAGCAGGAGACTAGGCAAGCATTGCTCCCAGACCTGTCCCCTGACGTCCCCCGTGGAGACCCGAGACTGGAGCAAGTCTCCCCGCGGCGTCCCCCACGCCGCGCCCGCTCCCGCGGAGGCCCAGCGGGCGCCCCTGTCCTCCTCCGGGTCGGAATCCCGGAAGGGCTGTTGCCGAGCTGGACGCTTATCTTCAGGGGCCAGTGCACGTCCTGAAGGCCCCGCGGAGGGGCGCGCGGACACCGGGACCACCGTCCTCGCCCCTGGGGTCGAGCAGGAGCCGCGGGGCCTCGGGGTTCGCCTCGCTTGCTCCCGTCCAGCCTCCCGCCCGGCGCGGGGCGCGCAGAACAGCGGAGCGCGGGCGGAAGGCAGGGGGGCGGGACCGCCGCCGCCGCTCGCGCTCTTTCAAAGTTTCTTCAGTGGCACAGTTCCTGCGCGCTTCCTGTGGGGGCGGCAGCCGCGCCCTCGGCGCCCTGCCGCTCGCTGGCTCCAGGCGGAGGAGGCGGGGAGACCCGAGTCTGGGGCCGGGGCGGCGGCAGGCACCCGGGACCGAAAGGGGCCGGACGGGCGCGCCACTGGTCCTGGGGCTGGGTCCCACCAGAGCGCCGCGAGAGGGCGCTGCTGCCGGCGTGGCCGGGACCGGACCGCTGGACGCGGGCGCCGGCGGGGCAGGGCTGGGCCGCCCGGCGCCTCCCTTCGCGCGCCGACCAGGACACGGGCGACTGTGCCGCGAACCCCTCGCCTCCCCCGTGCGCGCCTGGCCGCCCGCTACTTACCCAGGAAGCCGGTGAGGAGCGCGAGCAGCGCCAGTGGCGCGAGGCGGCAGCCGCGGCAGGCGGGCGGCCGCATCCCGGCGGCGGAGGCTGCGCTCCCTACCTGGGCGCGGGGACTGGAGACGCGCGGGGAGCGGAGCTGCGCCGCTGCCGCCGCCGCCGCGGCTGACCCTTCTCCGCTGGCTCCCCTCCTCCCTCCTCGGGCTCCGCCGCGCCATCGCCGGCCGCGCCCTCTGGTGGCCGGGAGCGGGAGCGCCCCGGTGCGCGCTTCCAGCGTCCGCCAGCTCGCGGCTGCGGCTGCGGCTGGTGTCCGGCCAGTCGGGGCTGCAGTAGAGGCGGCCGCGGCTCCGCCCCCAAGGTGCCCTCCTTCGAGGCTCTGACCTCTGCCCCCTCGGGCCACCAGCCTCCACCCCTCCTGTCCCTTCCTCCTCTGCGTCCCTCCTGACCTAGGCCCCGTCCCCTCCCTTCATGCCCTCCCACCTTACCGCGTCACCCCCATCAGTAGCTCCACCTGTAAAGTGGAGGCGAGGGTAATCACTTTTTCTCTCTGCTAATGTAGTAACTGCCGTGAAAAAAAAAAATGTTTTTAATCAATAGTTCAACTCAATATTGTTGGCACCAATGTTCTACTTTGATGAAGGTGTTTTTAATCAGCTCGACTAATTTACTTAATATCCCCTTTGAGCGGAATTTGGCCAATAGCCTAGGTCTGGGATTTGGCTTTTAAACAAGTTTGTGTAAATGTAATTTTCTATAAATGTAATTTTAAGTGTTCACCATAATGGAAGAGAGTGGGTGTAGTTTTATTCAAAAAATATAAATTAATTAAACTGGAATACAGAGAAGTGGAGCGATGTGGGAGTGCCTCCTGTTCCCGCAGGACTGCCAAGGGCCTCCCTCCCCAGCCCGGCAGAGTGGTGGCCCTGATAGGGGACTGGCCTTGTTGGGTGGTGCACTGAAGCGGAAAGCAATTACAAGGAAGAAATAGAGACTCCCCTCAATGGTTCTGAACTCCCTCATGCCTGCCTCAAGCCTTGGCTCACTCCGGTTTCCAAGGAAGTGCGCAGTACCAAAAGCTCGTCCCGGCCCTAGTTTAGCCCGTGACCTCTTGAAGACAGTATCCGTGTTTTCCTTCATATTTTGTTCAGATACCTACTATGTGACTGCAACTGTGCTGAGCACCCTGGGAATGCCAGTGTCTACCACGTGGACATCCAACATTCACCTGCTTGCTAAGCATTTAAGGAGGACCAGGCCCTGGGAATACAAGTAGGATGTAGTGGAGAAAAGAGGAGCAGGTGCTGAATAAACATTGGTAGGTTGAGCCGTCTTTTTTTTTTTTTT